TTCGCCCTGAAGATATGGAGACATTACCTTTATGGGGTCCGTTGTACCATTTACACGGATCACAAGACCTTGAGACATATCATGGATCAGCCGAACCTGAACATGAGGCAACGCAGGTGGCTGGATGTAGTTAAGGACTACGATTGCGAGATCCTTTACCACCCTGGTAAAGCGAACGTGGTTGCGGATGCTTTGAGCTACAAGTCAGCTGGGTCTTCCACCCCAGCGGTATGTATAAGGTTAGCGGTGGACTCCCCGCGGGTGATCATAGATGCCCAGGTTGAGGGCATGCGACCGGAGAATTGGAAGTTGGAGAGGATCAAGGGTGAGAATACACGGTTTGAGCAGGATAGTCGGGGATTATTGACCCGATGTAGTCGAGTTTGGGTTTCGATGTCTGGCGGGGTTAGGCAGACGGTTATGGAGGAGGCTCATAAGTCTCATTTCTCTATTCACCCGGGGGCCACCAAGATGTTCCGGGATTTGAGTTTGAGCTATTGGTGGCCGTGCATGAAGCGAGAAATCGCTTGGTACGTCGAGAGGTGCTTGACCTGTAGGATGGTCAAGGCCGAGCATCAGAGGCCGCATGGCAAGCTGCAGCCCCTGGAGATCCCCATGTGGAAATGGGAACAGTCACAATGGATTTTATTACCAAGTTGTCGAGGACGGACGAAGGGGTTTGATGCTATATGGGTCATCGTGGATCGATTGACCAAGAGTGCCCATTTCTTGGCCATACGGGAGAGCTCATCGGCCGAGAAATTGGCCGACTTGTACGTTCGCGAGATCGTGTCTCGCCATGGGGTTCCCGTTTCCATTGTCTCTGATCGGGATGTCAGGTTTACTTCCCGCTTCTAGCAGAAGTTTCACGAGGAGCTGGGCACACGGTTGCACTTCAGCACAGCCTTTCATCCGCAGACTGATGGTCAGAGCGAGCGGACCATTCAGACCTTCGAGGATATGTTGAGGGCGTGTATCATCGATTTCGGTGGGAGCTGGGATTCCCACCTACCGCTTGCAGAGTTCGCCTACAACAACAGCTATCATTCCAGCATTGGCGCCCCGCCATTCGAGCTGTTGTATGGGCGGAGATGTCGCACCCCGGTTTGTTGGGGTGAGGTTGGTCACAGGGTGATGGGTCGGACGGAGGTGGTCTTCCAGACTACCGAGAAGATTCAGCAGGTTAGACAGCGGTTGCAGACCGCTCATAGTCGGCAGAAGAGTTACGCTGACCGACGCCGATCCGAGTTAGAGTTTCAGGTCGGTGACATGGCACTCCTGAAGGTCTCGCCCTGGAAGGGTGTGATCCGCTTCAGGAAGAGGGGAAAATTGGCTCCCCGATATATTGGGCCGTTCAGGATCATTGCCAGGGTTGGCAAGGTGGCTTACAGACTAGAGCTGCCGGAGGAGCTTAGTCGGATCCACAGTACTTTCCACGTTTCGCAGTTGCGAAAGTGCATTGTGGACCCGGAGGCAGTGGTGCCACTGGACGACATTTTAGGTTGATGAGCGCCTGAGTTATATTGAGAGGCCGATTGCCGTTTTGGAAAGGAAAGTGAAAGTCATGCGCAACAAGGAGGTTCCGTTGGTAAAGATACAATAGGAGCATCGGAGGGGATCCGAGTGGACATGGGAGTCGGAGGCTGAGATGTGGGAGCATTACTCGGAGTTATTCGCTACAGCTGACTTCGAGGACGAAGTCTAAGTCAAGTGGGGGAGAATTGTAACATCCCAACCGTCAGGTATTATTAATATTTTTCCTTTTAGACTTCATGTTTAAGGTCTACTCGACGAGTTGGCGCTATGACTCGTCGAGTAGTAGCGGGCCAGGACACGTCAATTAATGAGTGACTCGTCGAGTCGGCATGGGACTCGACGAGTAGGAGCTGGCAGTGGAAACCCTAATTTTCAGGGTTTTGCACCATATATATTGGACCATTAGCGCCTCCCACTGTCCTCTATCACCCTCTTGAGACCCAAAAACCCTAATTGTTGTGAGTGAGAGCTTGGAGAGTGTTTTAGAGCTTTGGGGAGTGACTTTTGTGAAGGAAACTTGTAGATCAAGAGGACAACATCAAGATTTCCGTGTGGATCCAGAGTCTACTTCAGTTTGGGCACGTTTTGGAGGTAACCAGCTGTTACCTTAACCTCTTTTCTTCTAAGAATCATTCATATGTGAAAACTAGGGCTTTCATTAGTTATTCATGAAGGGATTTTGGTATGGGAGCTAGATCTGAAGTTGAAAATTCAGATCTGAACCTCTTTTGAGTCCTAAGTCCATAAAGTTTCCAGCTCTTGCAAGGATGAGATTTTCCAAAGGTGTAAAGCTCCATTAGAAGCTTAGATTGGTCATTTAGAGCCTTTAGGGCCTTGCATGTGTGTAAAGTTTGCAACTTTACGTGTTAAACATGCCTTAGAAGCTTGGATCTGTAATCTGGAACCTTGGCATGGCTTAGGAAAGTGTCTGCATGGATGAACGTCTGCAAGGACTCGACGAGTTGCATAGTCAACTCGGCGAGTCATATGAAGATGGTCGTGAACTCGTCGAGTTGATGAACAAACTCGGCGAGTCCGTTGAAGATTGCCTTGAACTCGGCGAGTCGTTCGAAGACTCGGCGAGTCGGCTAGGGTTTCTCCTAATTCTTGGACACGTATGAACTCGACGAGTTAAAGGGGAACTCGACGAGCCAATCAATGATTTCACGACTTCTCGAGTTCAGGAAGGACTCGACGAGTCGGTGAACTGCACTCGACGAGTCGAGTCAACATGGAATGTTGACTTTGACTGTGGACTTTGACTTTGACCAAGAGTTGACCAGTTGACTTCTGAGAGTATTCTGGTAATTTGGAGATTTACGAAAAAGGGTTTTATGGTAACGATAGGTGGTGGAGTTCGTGTTGGTGATCCGGGAGTTGAGCTTCTAGTTTCAGACGACAGTTGCGAGGTGAGTTTTTTCCTCAATATACTCAAGGGTCTAAGGCACCAAGGCCGGCCCTTTGGATTATTATATGGTCATGTTATGCTAGTATAATCTGTTAGATCGGTATCCTAGAGGGTAGGATAATATTATATGATATGTGGTATGATCTGTTAGATTGGCATCCTGGTAGATAGGATGGTGTTATGTGCTATGTGGTAAGATCCGTTAGATCAAGTATTGTCTATAGACTGTTATGTGATTATCTATTTTATGTGCACATATTTGTTTGGCGGTTGAGGCTTATCTGCTCGGTGCGAAGGCCAATAGACCTGGGCATTCCAACCTGTAGGTTGTGGGCCGTGAGTATTCCATCCCGAGGATGATTGGACTCAGAGTATGTGGGCAATCCAACATGTTGGTTGTGGGCCTGGGGTATTCCAACCTGATGGTTTATTGGACCCATAGTGTATTGGCAATCCAACCTGTTGGTTGTGGGCCTGGGTATTCCAACCCGATGGTTGATTGGACCCATAGTGTGCTGTTATGATTCTATGTGTATTGTTGCGGGTATGGGTATTTTGGGGGAACTCACTAAGCTCTCGGGCTTACAGTTTCAGTTTATTGTTTCAGGTACATCAGGGGATCGCGGCAAGGCGAAGGCGTGATCGTACAGCTCCTCATGTTTTGTCTATGTGTCTGGGGAAAACTCTGATATTATACATTTTTGAAAACAAAGTTGTAATGATTTTTAATGGTTTGAAATGTTTTTAAAAGTTTAAATTGGTTTGAATTTTTGGGTGTTACTCAATATAGTTTTTCTTCCTCACTGTAGCTCGTGTTTTTGTCAGCATCACACATACAATGTCTCTGACCTTCACAAATTGAGAACCTTAGGATAATTAGATTGAGATATCATGACTCTCCACTATGTACTAACGAACCCAACCAGAACAAACTTGACACCGATAAACATAACTTAATTCAAATAAAAATACGAGGGGAATTTTTTTATTATTTCAGATAATATATACTTAATGCGTATTAACAAGCGATATATTTTATTTAAAATTATTCTTTTAACAAATATTTGTTAAAACGTAGTTGCTATTTCGATAGTTGTTAAAAAGATATGATAGTTTTTTATTCTAATATTTAAGATTATTCGTTTAAAAAGTAACAATAAAACCTCTTAAAGTTGAATAAAAAAAGTAAAACACATAAACGAATGATGTAAACGAAAAACACATAAAAAACAACATTAAATAATTATATTTGATGTTTGATAGTTATTCGGGTTCTATTTTACTTTGTTTATTGGAGCAAAACATTAAAAAAACGTTATATAATATGAACGAACAAAACGTAAGACAAATAATATTTAATCGTATATTCGAATAAGACATCAAAAATATTAAAAGATTTTTAATCCACAAAAACAAAGCTAAGAATAAATAATATATATATATATATATATATATATATATAATTTAGATAATTAATTTAAAAAAATAAAAAAAATTTATATGAAATCTATAAAAGTTCTATTAAATTAAAAAAAAATTGATATAATATATTAATATTAATAAAGATGATAATAATAATAATAATAATAATAAATTGTTAAAAAAATGATAAAGAAAAAGATATAATTAGTCTTTTATATGAAATAAAGACATAAACTGTAATATTCATAATCTATCAATTTTTAAATTTAGATACCAAAACCATGAATCTAACAAAAATACAGGGATCATTTCTGTAATTTACTCTATAGTTATGTTTTATGTTGAAAAGATAAATATTTTTGTGCGGCAGTGATACTGTCGCCGCATGGCTGACTCCAGAGTCCAGTGGGAAATTTAGCAGTCGAATTGGTTGAAAAAACCAGTAGTTTTTTCCAAGTGGCAGCCTCCTGTTTTTATCCCTAAAACCAGGTGCTCTTTTACTCCTTGTACTTCCTTGTAAACTCTATTTAAACCCATCCTTACATTTTCAAAATCATCGCAATAAAAAATCTTTGATACCACATCTTACAAGAAAAAACCCACTTGATTTCAGCATCTTCAAGTTTCTAAAAGCATGAGTTCAGGAAGCAAAGTATGGATGGTGGCTGGAACTGTTGGATTGGTGGAGGCGCTCAAAGATCAAGGCTTTGCAAGGTGGAATACCACCATCAGGTCCATCCACCACCACGCCAAGGCCAATCTCCGATCAATCTCCCACACCAAGAACCTGTCGGAGCCGGCAGCCATGGCTTCAAGCAGAGCCATGGAAGAGAAAGCGAAGCAATCAGAGGAGTCACTCAGAAAAGTCATGTACTTGAGCTGTTGGGGTCCGAACTGATAAAACAAATCTTTTTTAGCTGTTTTAGGTAGATAGATACTTAGATAGGCAGAAGCTGTACATGTAATTTTGCATGATGTGCAACCTTCAACAGAGAAAGAAAGGAAGAATTTGATCATGTATTATGAATCCAGTATTCAAGTTTTGTAAATTTACTTGTTGGAAGATTAAGATTTGATTTAGTTGTGCTTATGTTCTCATGTGTGTGATTTTTTCATTTATAAAGGCCATTCGTATAATCATACATGTAATAATAATTTCATTTTATATATTTGTTTTATGTACATTCATGGGACCACATCAACACGATCAACATAGATGGTGTTCATTTGCTAAAGATTCTATTAGATGCATTTTTTATGCATATGATATTAGATGATTTGGGTGAAGTTTTTATGGAAAAGTGGAGAGACAAATGTGGCCAAAGAAGCCTAACTTAAAACCCACCCTTAGAGGAATCTTGAAATTCAATAAACAAATCCCTAATGTATTTAAGTGTTATATGTTATGTATTTTTTTTTTCATTTTCGAGATATTTTATATAATTTGGTGGAATCGCTTTATTTTCATATTTTATAGATGTTTTTGTAAGGTATTTGAAGATTGAATCATGTTTTGTATCATGCTAGGGAGTTACGGTGCAAATTTTGGTAAGATCGTACCAAAACGGAAGAAGTTGGAATATTTGAAGATCAATCGCACTCATAAGTTTACTTGATCGAATGGGCCTTCCTCAGAGAAAAAAAATCATTTTCATAGTGTTTTTTGAATATAAATAACTTTAATAATAAATTATATATAAAAAAACTAATGACCAAATTTTATATAAAAAATATAATTTGTTACCTTTATGATAGGGTTATATCAAGTTAGTAACTAAACAGGCTATTGTCAAAATGATAGATTTTAAATATCAAGAAAGGGTATACATGTAAGAAAAAATATATAAAAACCAATATATATATATATATATATATATATATATATATATATATATATATATAAACATAATTCATTATCTTATCAAAGTATTTTGTTTGGTTTTGTATAGTACATCCACTTACTGCTTACGTCATGCAACCCTTGGATATTATCTCCATTGATAATTAAAAATGATTTGGAAAGAGAAGCCGTATTTGTTAGTTGGCGTCGAAGGGCATATTTGACAATTCACTGCCATAAAACCATTGGCTCTTCCAAGTCTCTGGCCTCCTGTTTTTACCGCTAAAGTTGGGGCTTCTCTCACTCTCTCCATCTCTATTTAAAACCAGTCTTCTCTTTCCCTAACTCATATCCATCAAACAAATCTCTAATACCATTCAAACTAGAAAACCCCTTTCCATTTTAGCATCTTAAAATAGTCGAAAACATAAAGAAAAGATGAGCTCGAGCACAAGCAGATCATGGATGGTGGCAGCAACTGTCGGATTGATGGAGGCACTCAAGGATCAAGGCTTTGCAAGATGGAACGCCACCATCAGGGCAGTTCACCACCACGCCAAGTCCAATCTCCGATCAATTTCTCCGACCAAGAAGTTGTCTTTGCCGACGGCCATGGCTTCAGGCGGAGGCGTAGAAGAGAGGGTAATGCAATCAGAGGAGTCGTTGAGAAAAGTCATGTATTTGAGCTGTTGGGGTCCCAATTGATCAAACCCTTTGCATCTGTTATTAATTTTAGGCACCTAGACACTAGATTAAATGTAAATGTAATTATGCATTGTGTATAACATTTATAATGAAGTGAAAATCGTTATTATGAAAATACAGCCTAATTTTGTGTCATGATTTGATGTTATTCCGAAATATACATTATTCGTTATAAAAAACATTTACAATGAGGCCTAAAATGCTAAATTTGGAAAACCATATATTAATTAGCGTTATATCTTTTTTTTGGAACAACAAATCTATTCTATTCTCCTCCTATATAACACCTAAATCTCCACCTATATCTCTCACGAGACTTGAACCCTCGACTTCAAGGAGGGAGGGCAACACCGGATACCGCTAGGCTAGAAGCCCTTTGGTAATTAGCGTTATATCTATCCGTTGATTGTGTTGACCGATATAAAAACAATGGGTCGATTTTTCTTTCTTTTATAAAACCCTACTTTTAGTTATTTTATTTATAACATTGTATTATGACAAATCTACCAAATTAAAATTATATCATTTATATAAAGTTTTTTCTTTGTATGTGTTAGGGTAAACATGTTGTAAGTTGCATAGTTAGGTAGTGAAAATGTTTTAAAACCATTTTTATTGAGAAATTAAATTGCTTCCTACTTTTTATGTCTACAAATGTTCCTATCCAATAAAATTATGACAAGTGTCATCATTCCATATTTTTTTAACTAACTCATTAAAGCTATATTAGTAATATATCAAATACAATTAAATTGGATGATGATTTGTCATAATTTTAGTGGGTAGGAATAAATGTAGGCATAAAAGTTAGGAGATAATTTAATTTCTCTTTTTTAGAGAAATTAAATTGTTTCATACTTTTTATGCCTACAAATATTCTCACCCAATAAAATTATGACAATTGTCATCATTCCATATTTTTTTAACCAACTCATTAAAGCTATATTAGGAATATATCAAATACAACTAAATTGGATGGTGATTTGTCAGAATTTTAGTGGTGAAAGTACATTGCAATTTCTTGCATTTAGCCTATATTTACGAAATTTAGGTCATATTCGGCCGATATATGAGTTGGTTGATGAGAAAACAAACATCCCACTTGCTACTTCATTTTATTATAACATCGCATTGCCTATCCAACTTCTTTCTATTATAGCATTGTATTTTTCTATTACAACAACCAAAAACAAAGTAAAATTGTTTAGAGTTGCCAATAATATCAATAAATGGTTATGTTTGTTGGTCCGGTAATAGATGAGAAATTAATGGACAAATTCTATTTTCTTTCATAACATCAAACATAGATAATTTTGTTGTTATTATTTGTAAAAAGTTAACTACATTGCCAATATTGGATAAAAATATAAGTATGTTGCTATTATTGGTTGAAAAGAAAAAGTACGTGCTATTATTTGTTAAATAGATAGCTATGTTGCTATTATTTGTAAAAATAGACAAGTTCATTGCTGTTATTGGATTAAAAGGTATGTTGCTATTATTGGTCGAAAAGAAAAGTATGTTGTTATTATTTGTTAAAAAGATAAGTATGTTGCTATTATTTGTGAAAAAAGATAAGTTAATTGCTATTATTGGATTAAAAGGTAAGTGTATTGCTATTGTTGTTTAAAAAGATAAGTATGATGCTATTATTGGTTAAAAATAAATGGGTTGATATTATTAGTTAAAAAAATTAACTATATTGGTACTATTGGTTAAAAAGATAAGTACAATGGTATTATTGATTAAAAAGATAAGTACAATGCATTAATAAGAAAATTAAAAACGCACACAAAAAGCATGTTGAAAGTACAACATCAATAAATAAAAGTATGATCTATAATTAGGCATGAATTACTTTAAAAATACAATGTTATAATTGGGCCATTTTTTTCATTGTACTTACAAAGTACAATGCATTAATAAGAAAAATACAAACGCGCACAAAAAGAGAAGTGCATTGCTATTATTGACACAAAGAAGATCGTGAAACTATTTCAATCATCATGTTGACATAAATCCCCAATTACATTATTAAATAAAGGGAAGCCTACACATAGGATTATATGAAACGATTTTTATGAAAATGTGATCAATAGGTTTATATAAGTGTTCGAACGCGCTACCCCTATACCACCACTATGTCCCTATATTCCAACACCCACACTCCGCCCCCTGTTTGTTTATCTCCTTGGAAATATGCAATAATCCAAAAACAGCTACCCATGCCACCACATTCGTCCCACACTAGGGGTGCAAACGAGCCAAACTACTCGTGATCTACTCGTTAAAAGCTTAACTCGAAACCGATTTTAAACGAGCCCAAGCCAAGCTCAAGCTTAATATTAAGCTTGTTTATTAAACGAGCCCGAGCTCGAGCCTATGTCACTAAGCTTGATTAGGCTCGCGAGCCTAAACGAGCCTATATATAATATAATTTATTATTATTTATACATATTAAAATAAAAACATATCTGAAGAATTAGGGATTTAGGGTATTAGTAAACGAACTTCTTAATGAGCTCGAATAGAGCTTAAGCTTATTTAGGCACCTATGACAAAAAATGAGTCGAGCTCTAGCTCGAGCCGAGCTTGCATAATTCCTTACGATTTCAAGTCGAGCTCAATACAATAAAGCTTGAATCGAGCCGAGTTCAAGCTCGAGCCAAGCCTGGCCAGGCTCGGGCTCGGTTCGACTCGTTTGCACCCCTATCTCATACATCCCTATCTTTCCCCAATATTTCAACTTCCACACTCCAAATATTGTTTATTTCAATAGAAAAAGGAAAAAAACTGACTATAAAAATATAAATATTTTTATTATTTCTATCAAAAAATTAAATATGTTGACATTTCTCTCAAATACATAAAAATGGTACAATTTCTATAAAAAAAACCATAAGCATTATTGTCAAAAAAAAAAAAAAAATTAAGTATGTTGTTACTTTTGTCAAAAGATATTAGTTGGTTGTTAACTATGTTAATAGATATAGGTAGTGACAATTGTAGCTAATAAAACCACACAAGCAACTAATGCTTCTTTGGTGCCTCCACATTGTCATTTATCTCTCCAACATGAAATGATTTCTTTAATAATGATAAGTGAAGATAAATCGCTACTAAAACTTGTTCTCGTTGATCATTGTTCCCACATTTTATCATCGAAGATGTATGTGATAAAAATTCAGAATCTTTAGCATAAAAACACTTATCTTTAGATTTTGATCTTAAAATGAAACATCATTGCATTTTAAGATCTAATCTAAACCCAAGAGGTCTATGAATATGTAGATATGTAAATATTTCACCATTATCAGGTTGTACTTGCATTGAAACAGAGATTACAAATAAATAAAAGAAGCAAAGAAGAAGGGAGAGATGTAGAAGGCAATAATGTTCTCATACTCGAATTCAAGCAAACATCTCTTTCTCTATTTTGGTGCTCTCTTACATCAGTATTCCCTGCAACATGTCAAATTTGACTACATTCACTTGGTACAGACTTTGATTTTCAAAGTCTATTTGATATGAAATACGTGTTTTATCTGAAAAAAACAGGCCTTAGTTAGATTTTCGCAGATATTTTATATTTGTTCAGGTTGACATTGCGAAAAACTTGATTTTCACATATAACAATTTACCAAAATCTAAAAAAAAAATCTTATAAAATTTTTGTAGTTCTCATAGCTAAAATTGTAATATCTTTAATGTGTGTTTTGTATTAAAAAAAATAGTTTGTGGGACCAGACTAATTTATCTTTTTTTTTAAAAAAAATTTAATTATCGTAAAGATAAATATTTTTGTAAGGTAGTGATACTGTCGCTGCCATGTCATGGCTGAGTCCAGAGTCGAGTGGGGAATTTTAGCAGTCGAATTGGTTGAAAAAACCAGTAGTTTTTTTCCAAGTGGTAGCCTCCTGTTTTTATCCCTAAAACCAGGAGCTCTTTTACTCCTTGTACTCTTTCCTTCTAAACTCTATTTAAACGCATCTTTACATTTTCAAAATCATCGCAATCAAAAATCTTTCATACCTCATCTTAACAGAAATAACCCATTTGATTTCAGCATCTCCAAGTTTCCGAAAGCATGAGTTCAGGAAGCAAAGTATGGATGGTGGCCGGAACCGTTGGATTGGTGGAGGCGCTCAAAGATCAAGGCTTTGCAAGGTGGAATACCACCATCAGGTCCATCCACCATCACACCAAGGCCAATCTCCGATCAATCTCCCACACCAAGAACCTGTCGGAGCCGGCAGCCATGGCTTCAAGCAGAGCCATGGAAGAGAAAGCAAAGCAATCAGAGGAGTCACTCAGAAAAGTTATGTATTTGAGCTGTTGGGGTCCGAATTGATAAAATAAATCTTTTTTAGCTGTTTTAGGTAGATAGATACGGAAAATCTGTATATGTAATTATGCATGATGTACAACCTTAATGGAGAAAAGAACAAGAATTTGATCATGTATTATGAATCCAATATTCAAGTTTTGTAAATTTACTTGTTGGAAGATTAAGATTTGATTTAGTTGCTCTTATGATGCCATTGAGAAATCGAGCTGGTGAAGCCAACAATTTCAGTAATGTCTTAAGATGATGGGGAATTGTGTTCTTGTTCTCTACTGTGATTTTTTCATTTATAAAGGTCATTCTGATTAATCATACATGTAATCATTTCATTTTGTATATTTGTTATAATTAGTCATACATGGGATAATCATGATTTTAAAACAATCATATATCTTTCCTTCGACATTAAGATTGTGTTACATCATGCATTATAAAAAGTATAAAAGATTGTTCAATTGGGACCCCAACAGGTTCTTGGTGTTGGAGAATGATGGGAGATGTGACTCGACGTGGTGGTGGATGGACCTGATGGTGTAGTTGAGTGTCTCCACCAATCCAACAGTTCCGGCCACCATCTATGCGCTCTGGTTCTTGAACTCATTCCACATTTAATTTGAGTAGATTAAATCAAATGTTTTTTCTTTATTGTCTATCT